ATGTTTTTTAACGAATCGGGCATTACCCCATCTGTGATAAGTACTGGGGCACATCCAATGACGTTGGCTGCGACGCACAGCTGGAGGCCGCGATTTCGACGACACACACGGCGACACGTTGTAGTTACGCAACGACGTACGATCATCGGCATAACGTAATATACGTGCATTTTTTCATTTATCTTGATTTTTATCATTTATTTATTATTTTTAATCGAGCCCCATAGAAAACGAATCATCCGATTATTAGATAGCTATGAAAAAACTGAACAACTTTCATATTTTGGGTTTTTTGTGGCTGTAACAGTTTTAAAAATATGACTATTTGAAAAGTTTGTAATCAGTAATCAGTAGTTTATTTTATCCACCATACATGATCATACACTAATCAATACAGTATGTAAAAAGAGGCGAAACTGGTGAGCCGAGGTGAATAGGAGTCGCGAGAAACCAAGACTGGTTATCGAGCAGCGACACCCGTGAAAAAAACCTAACAGTAATTGATAATAGCATAAAAAGTAGAAAAACTAGCAAAAGAATATAGGAAGAAATTAGAATCGAGGCGACCTGATTTTCCAGGAGGCGCCCGATACACAGAAACAAATAACGACTCCTAGCACCGATGTTCAAGTTACCATGGAAACAGCAGCAAGAGTACAAGGCGGACAAAGTATTACTCATTGCTGTTACTGCGTTGCTCATAATGGATCGTGACGCCGGTGTTTGTTGGATAGAAATTTTCATATATATATCTCAGGAGAGTAAGAATGCCTTTAAGAAAGCGTAATACCAGTCGGAGGTGTTTGCGAGTGTTTTAGGTAAGGTGCTGGAATCGTCATAAGTTATTAGGATACATAACATATAAAAAAAAATTATAATCTGAGGAGAACAAGTTCCCTTAACCCTAGGGTTTCGGCCCGGTCATAAATGGCAGATCTGTGTCATAATTTGGGTTTATGGCTAAATTAAATGTATTTTGGGGGGTCAATAGTATTTCATAGTGGTCTGCATGTGAACAAAACCAATTTCAAAACTCAAAATGTTTGAGTTTAAATTACCCATGCTTGATCCGAGTGTTCTTAATTACGGTGATGTCATCATATTTTTTTTATGTATAATTTTTATTTTGCAACAATTCAACAGTCAATTTTATTTGTATGAGTATTTCAAAGCTTAAAAATAACCAAATAATCTATTGTTAGTTGAAAACGAAGTATTTTGAACGCGCGAGCAACGTTCTTCGGCTCATAATAAACAAACAAAGATACCAGACAGCACGCGATCAAATGCTCTTCGATAAAACGAATATCATTTCACTTACAAATCCCAGTCTTGTTTTATCTTGAAGGTGACGTATAGCTCTTCTAAAAGAGAACTCCTTCTCTCGCATATCAATCACGTGTCGACCACAGCGTTAAAAGTGAGAAACTTTTTCTCGAAATTTTTTGAAATTTCTCTCTTCTTACTGGCATATGGTCGGACGCATTTACGCTACGTAATGTGGGCGCGTTTTAGTGGAAAGCGACGAAAATAAGCTTTTTAGGGACACATTAATGATGTCTTTGGCATTTTTGGTTGGTGAAATATTAAAAAAATTATAGAAGGGTGTCAAGATGACCCAGGAACACCAGGGGTCATTAGGTTAATAAAATAAATGGGAGTAACGTAGCAATAAGGAGCATTGTGAGTTGGC